AATATGTTGTACTTTAGAAATATGATAATTTTGTTTCATTATGATGTATTAAGTTATGAAGGTTTGTATTTTAAATTAAATAAGTTATTTGATAATTGTCAACACACTCGGATAAATAATGAAACTCTTGGCAATATAAAGACTATTTTAACTGGCTGAAGAATAGGAACAGGCTATCTAGGAGCCCTAACCTATGCACTAAAATTATATGCCACAAATTATGCAAATAAAAAACAACATGTCTGTACAACACTACTGCCAATTTAGAAGTTATTAACGAGTACAAATGTGAAGGTGCTGGTTAGGAGTCGTGTTGCATTCCTATTGGTGGAGGGCTGCTTCATGATCATTTGCATGTGGATATACAGAAGCAGAAGGTGGAAGGCTAGTGACAGAGCATGGAAAATTTGGGCTGATAGAGGGCAGTACTAACTGAGAAAAGCTATTTTGTGAGCGAAGGTAAAATATTACATTTTGGGACAACATGGGACCTATTGGTCTATCTCGGGTGTTCCATCCTCTAAACTAAATTAAAATAATTAAAAAAAAACATATTAAAGCCACCCCTTATCATTCATATACTTATCAAGCTTTTTCTTAAACTCACTTAAATTTACTGCCTCTACAACAACCAAATGCAACACATTCCAAAGGCCAACCACCCCTGTTAGAAAAATGAAACTGTCTGAGCTGAAGATGAATCCTACCTTGCCAAAATTTATATTATGTCTCCTAGTTCTACTATTTTCACTGTTAAATAAGAAAAAAAAAAAGATGATGCATCAACACTATCAATTCTCTTCACAATTTTAAACACCTCAATCAGTCCTCCCCTCTTAACTCTTCTTTTTTCAAGAGAAAACAATTTGAGAGATTTCAGCCTCTTCTCGTATGATAACCCCTCCATCCCAGGCAACATTCTAGTAATCCTTCTCTGAACCATTTCCAACAATTCAGTGACTTTCCTACGGTAAGGAACACAAGACTGAACACAATATTCCAAATATGGACTAACCAGTGACTTTTTGACTATTACACCAAGATCCCTTTCCTTCATAACACTGTTAAGGTTATTCCCATCCAAATTATACTTATAATTCAAATTATAACCCACATGCATTATCTTGCATTTATTATAATTAAAACCCATCTGCCATTTATTTGCTCAACTCACTAAATGATCTAAATCCTTTTGTAAATCAGCAGCATCCTCTTCACAGCTAGCAACACCCAAGACCTTAATATCATATGCAAATGTAAGTAATTTATTGACTATTCCTTCATCCATGTCATTGATGTAAATCAAAAAAGGCAAACATCCTAAGACTGAGCCCTGAGGTACCCCACCCATGGCATTAATCCAGTTTGACTGAACTCCATTAATAACAACCCTCTGCTTTCTTCCATTCAGCCACTCTTCTATCCAATTTGCTATCCATTCCAATCAGAATATCTATAGATCATTTTTTATTTATCAAATAATATAAATAAATTAAAGAACTTGTAATTTTTAAAACCAAACAAAAATATAAGTTATATAAGACACTGAAAAACAACTTCAAAAGACCACATCACATCTAAAAAAGTTCAAAGGGCTTCATCACATTTAAAGAAAATGTCATAATAAAAAATAGACAAAACATTTAGATAAAAGTAGTCAGTGGACAAGATATAAAATAAATAGTCCCAATAATGCAATATTAAGCTTTGCTGATTATATCTTGAATAACCCAAAACTATTATGGCATGAATTTAACCTTGCTGTTTCTTTCTTGAAACTTATATATCAAAACAACTGAGACAAGAAGTTTCAATATTTATTGTCTAGATGTGGAAATCATTAGAACTCAAATACAATGCATGGCTCATTTTCCTTCAATCACTATAAATTTCTAAGTTCAGTAATACCTCAATTAACTGAAAAAATAATAATGAGAAATCATAATGGCAATATTTTGATTACTTGAATATCTGGAATAATTTACAAAAGTAAGAATAAGAAACATTAACTTTGATTAGTTTTGTGACATTAATTGATTTAATCATAATATTGATTAATCAGTTATTTTATTTAACTACAAAAATATTAGCAAATGGCTTTCATGTTCAGCCTTTAACCTCTTTCAAGACCATTGGGAAAATATTATATGGCCCAGGAGCCTTATCATTCTTTAAACTTCCCAATTTTTTCTTAATTAACAAGCCCAGAATTAATGTGATCATTTTGTACCACAAACCCACCTTTACTGGACTTTATTTACATTTTAAAGAAAATCTGGTTAAAAGCCTATTATAAAGAGTCTAAGATACCAGGAAATCAAGTAACAGATGAAAACATTAAACAAATTCTTAGAAGAAACTATTTTTCATTTTTGTTCTTAATTAGAATAATACACACCAAAACTAAAGAATACATACTTCATTTGTTTTATATGTTCCAAAAAAACTGTTACTTTAGTGCTACTTAGACACTATTTCATACATGATTGAGAGAATTATGAAGCAGTTATATCCACAAGTTCTGTTAAAAATGTGCCTTTAAAATAGAGTCGAGGTTAAAAGGGGACTTCAACTTTAAAGACTACATCAACTAAATACATTGCGAATAATATACGAGTTGTGCCCAAGTTGCAGTCATGGATACACTGGATCTGAAATTAAATAAAAGAACACTGACACTAAAACCTACAGCATCACTGTCTACATGATGATGTGTCTATTTATAGTTTCTTCCATGTCATGCTCCATTACCAGGAATAATTCCACCTTAGAATGCTAGAATCTCTTGTCACTAAGACGAGTGCATCCCGCCACTACATTTTCAATCATAAATTTGTCAAAAAAAAAAGAACAAAACATGAACTTCAACCATTGAACACGAGGTGCAATAGAAACATAGGATAGCAAATTAATATAAAACTCTCAATATTTTGACAATACAAAAACAAAATAAACAGTTTACCCCTGTGTGTCGTTGTCATCTCTTGGATAGTTATGTGTATTTGTAATCCACCTATAATTTGAAAATTAACAGATTAATAATTTAATGAATCCACTAAGTGACCTTGAAAAGCTTATCCCATTCTATAGAATTATTTTGCCACTGTTGCATCTCAGAAGATTAACTAGCCTACAATTTTAAGGGCAACCTTTATCACCCCTTTTAAAAACAGGAGTAAGAATAATAACTTTTCAATCCTCAGGCACCTTTCCACTGTCTATTGACAGGCCAAAAAACCGAGCGAATTCCTGAAGAACTCAAAGACAGCTTAAAATAATTTTTATGTTTCTTTTCCTCAGGAATGGAAATAAAGGACAGCCTTAAAATTAAACTTCAAAGAACTAAATTGTTTCTTGTTTTCTGCACATTACGTCAAGTTTGGAAACTAAAATCTAAAGAATCACACTCACAGTATTTAAGACCTGTTATTGTTAAGTCAAGAATATTACTATTAGAATACTCAGTATGTTAATAATTTACGTATTTACTCTAGACTGATGAGTAGTACTAGTATTTAAGTAGTAATACTAATAGTTGTAATAATATCAATAATAACAAACTACTGTGAAAAGCCTGTTTTGTTTGGAATAATTTTACTACTAAAGTAATACTAATAGTATTAGTACTAGTAGACTAATACAAACTACAAATAAAATTTAAACATACCTGCTTCGCAAACAACTTTCCCAGGCTTTAAATCTAACTGCAATATCACAAGACTAATGTCAGGTGTATAAAGAATCTGCGTTCTATGGGGTAACGTAAGAGTCCACAATTCTGGGGTCAGGAAAAGTACGTAAGCCCAACCTCTGGAACACTGTACAACATTGCCGTAGCGTTTTCCGATGATACTGTCATGTTTGAGAGCTCCATATTTTGTTTGGAATACTTTACCTGATGTAATTTTTAAAGCATAAATATTGGATATACTTAAATAAATTAAAACAGTATCACCATTTTTCACTAAATCCCTATATTCAATGAAACTCATGCCTATCACAGTATCAGCACCACACACTTCACAATCTTTCCACCATTTAGGAAAACGAGCGTGAATACAAATTTTGGGTTTCCATATTCAAAGAGATATTGTATGGAAAGACAAATGCATAATTAAAACATAACAAAACATAAAATTTAAAAATAACAAGAGACCTATTAGTTTATTTATGCTGTCCGATCCATTAATATAAAAAAAAAACACACACACATATACACATTAAAAACTAGCCTTTATCATGAAATTTTTATCAAGCCTTCCCTTAAACTAATGGAAATATTCTATTGTTTTTCAAAATTGATTGTGTACTGGAGGGATTTAGACATTTTGGCGATAAAGTTAGAAGAAATGACCTTTACTCTCCAGATAATAATAAAAAAAACTTTTACAACTTCCTTAAAACTCCCTTACCTTTATTACATCAACCACATCTGAAGGCAACCAATTCCAAAGGCCAACTGGCAAATATCCTGTGAGTTAACAGTAAGTTTACGAACTTATAATGCTAAAATCCAAGATTCGATTCCCTACAGTAGGCACAGCAGATAACCCAATGTGGCTTTGCTCTAAAACACATAAATAAAAATAAAACAGCTTTAGCTGTTGTGAAGACGACTCCCGTGATATTTGGGCATATCACATGTTTCTACCTGCTTTAGTGATATAAACATTTTAAAAAATTCTGTTACTTAACTCAATTATTGCAACAGCGGAAACATGAAGTCCATAAAGTTGTTAAAATTAACTTGTTTTAGTTGCTTCGTTTCATTGTTCTCTGTATTATGTAACGTTTCTTCACCCGAGAAGATATTGCAGTAACATATAGCATTCGAGTTATGAAGGATTGGCACTGCAATATCCTTTACTGGTCGGCTTTTGTGTTAACTGAACGTAACAGCCAATCATTACCAAAAATTCCTTACCCTCATCACTGGCCGAACTGGTGAATCAAATGAAGGGCATAAAATACTATAACCGTTACATCAAGTGAGATACTGTGTTATGCAGGTATTTCATATGTTTTCTACCTACATTAGTTATATAGAAATTTATTAAATTCGTCGTTTATTCCATTTCAAAAGAATCATGTAGTCCAGAAAGTCGCAGAAATCGCTTTGATCTACTTGCGTTGTGTCTTTGTTTTCTGTGGTAGATAAAGTCTATTCTACTCAAGATGATGTTACAGTAACATACAGCATCCGGGCCGAAAGGACTAATTTAATGAGATCTATTTGTTATGTGCAACGAAATCAGTTTATCTGAGAATAGCACATAACAAATTCATAGAGAGCATATTGAATACCATATCAAATGTAAACTTGGTGTACTCAGCGTTTTCTTTGGTATTAATATAATAATTTCAGTCAGGCACATTTAAGCATTTTATAAATATAGAGTTTTAATGGATATTTAATTAACGATGTTTCAATAAGATATACTCAAAGATGCATGAAATTGCTGACTGTGAGCTGTTGCTAAGAAGTGGGAAGTAACACTTGCGCAGTGAAACTTTGTAATTACACCTGGATAGTACTAAACTTGTGTCTGGAAGAAGCCTTAATTGGTTCTCACAATCAAAAGTTAGGACCTAGTATTCATTAACCTAGGTCAGTTCATGAGAGTAGGAATCCGTTTCTGACATCTTGACCCCAGTTTCTTTCCTATTGGAACCAAGAGCTCTGTTTAAGTAATAACAAGACTGTAGTATGAGGAATAAAATGAGGTCGAAGGGTAAGCTGTGTCAGTTATTGCCACAGGAATGATAAGAGTGAGCAGCATTTTGTTATGTGTACTGATCAAACAGAAACGCAATGAAGCCTGGAGCACCAAACCATCCATAGGTGTTAGGGATCATGTTCTAAAGTTAATGTAGGGTGTGATGACACAAAAAATCTTTAGAAATGTCTATTGATCGAAATGATCGTGTTATTAAACAGTGTCCAAAACCGGCATGTTTATAACTGGATAATTACAATGATTTAGAACCTATACATCTAGTTGAACTTCTGGCCAATCAGAATTCATTTGACCTTAGGTTTTCAATCGTGACTTTTGCTATCTAAGATCACATTCCTAACCCTTTTGGCTATTTTGTTTTTCAGCCAACCAGTGGTACTTTCATTCCCTCAGTGTTGTTAAATAGAAGGACATTATGGGCTACTTTCTGCACAGGACTTCTCGTTCAAGAACATAGAGTTTCAGGAACTTACTTTTTAATAGTATATATTAAGTAATGTAAGTTAAATGTATGGGTATGTTGGGCTAAAGATTCTTCCACAGTAGATGTCTGTGACTTGTTGGCGATAAATTAAAAAAAAATGGAATCAATAAACGAACAGCACGCACTACACTTGTTTTCAAAATAATATATTGTTACGTATCTGTTTGTTTGTTTCCAGTAGAAATTCTTTACGAGGATCTTCAGTGATACAAGTCCTTTCTTGATTAAACCAGCTTATTCTTCCTCGATACAAACTTTTAGTGCACAGTAGTTCCACAATCAGTACGTTTCTCGTCACTTTAAACTTAACAACTTTTATAACACACGCTATAAATCACAGTGATTCACAACCTCGATATAGAGAAGACAACTTAGGAGACTTCCCTTTGGACTTCCTGGGATTATACAACCACACCTTGTCTCCTGGTACAAAGCTGACTTCAGTAAATCTCTTATCATAACATAGCTTCATTGAATCAGCAGGCGTTTTCAAGTTTGAACGCAGTTGATGGTGAATATCATCCATCCTTTCTGATAACACTTTCACAAACTCTGACACATTTTCAGGTAACTCTTTGTAAGGTAGGCGTCCTGTTAACAGATCCATGGGCAACCGAAGTTCCCGACCAAGCATCAACTTTGCTGGAGTGTATTCAGTGGCTTCATGCTCTGCTGTCCTACAGGCCAAATCTTGGTCTTTCTCCAGCTATGCTTTAATATCTATACCTGGTTCCTACTTCACTATCATACTAACTCCTTCTACGTCTTACTTGTACTTCTACGTCTTGATCGGCTACCGTGGTTTACGTTACCTAACCTTCTTCTTT